TACTAATTCCCCCCGGCTATTTACACCCGGGGAAACGAAAGCATTAGCGGAGTCTAAAGTTCATCAATTATCGCGGGCGTGGGTCACCAACGGTGTTGGGTGGGTGGTCATCCTCACTGATCTAAAAAATATGGTGGATTATCACGAATAGCGGACACTGATTGGTCCAATTTAAAGTTTGCATTATAACGACTGCATGACGGCAGCGAAATAGCAAACATTTCTTGATTTGATGATTGATAAATTTCTTGCAAATATATTTCATTTTGCTCGCATTTTGCAAGATTTTGTAAATTTCAAAAGCTCTCTGAGAAAGAAACTGCGAAAGAATCGGCTAAAAGAAGGGAGCCGACGTTAACGAAGGTAAGTTTGTTTTAAATATTGATTTTATACCCGGCCTTTGCGTATATGAAACAACTAAACAAAACAGCATATAATTTCAGTGTATCTTTAATATTGATTCCTTTCTTATGATATTGAATTTTTTAAATAAAAAAGAAAGCAAAGTTATTTGCAAACTCAAAGTTTATCGATAAAGCCATTTTAAAAGGCAGTTTAGTTTTACAACACTATACTCTATAGTGACTTTGAAAACGTTTTGCGAAGCGTTTGTGGTTGAATTTTACCTTAAATTGAGGCTTATATTACGTATAATAACATATCTAATATATATATATATATGTTGGGAAATTAATAATTTTGTAATTAAAAGTGATATTTTTAGGCGATTTTTCATTTGTAAGAATATTGTTAAAAAATTATTGTGTTACCATGACAACTACTTTAGATACTTCATGTTCGGAAAATACAATGGTTTTGTCAGCAAGGCGAGGGTTTCTGCATGCATGTAATTTCTAGTAGTTATTGAATGAAACACAGTCTTACCAACGCAGTAAGTTCCTGTATTGCAAGTACAGGAGAAGTTTCCAGGGATATTCGTACAGACAGCCTGTGAGTGACAGGGACTTGTCAGACATTCGTTGATATCTGCACAAAAAATATAAGTGTGTCAGAAACCACTTGTTCATTAATCAGGAATTTTCGAAATTGAAATATTAATTGCGTTGTGTTCCTTTTTAAGAAATATGCAAAGTATTCGTTGCTTACTAAGACTTTGCCATAATACGATTGATTTAAATATTTGATTTCGCTGATCAGTTGCCATTATATAGTTTGCAAAACGAATTTATGGCTTGATGCCACTCGTATTGCGCCATTTCCGCGTCAGTTTACCCATATGGTTTACCTTTCAAATACTTCTTATAGTGGTTTTGAGAAGTAAATGTAATCATCCTTACTTGACAGGGTGATACTATGAAGTAACACTCGATTTTGGGTAGAACGTTGACTTTTTCAAACAAGTGTTAAATATCTATTATAGTTATTGAATGAAACACAGTCTTACCAACACAGTAAGTTCCATTCCCAGTGTAGCCTGTATTGCAAGTACAGGAGAAGTTTCCAGGGATATTTGTACATACAGCGTGTCAGAAAGCACGTGTTCATTAATGAGGAATTTTCCAAATTGAAATATTAA